CCATTGTTGAGGACCCAGAGGAAGCCCAACAACAATTACAAGATCTCCTTAACCGAAAGAGCGATCATGAAGCCTCTCTCGCTTTCAGTGAAGGTGCCTCATCCCGGAGTCCCCAACCCAAAGATAAAAAAACTAAAGAGAAGACGTACCTCTTCAGATGGGACTCAGAAGAAAGCTTCAACAAAAGAAGCCCCAATAGGACCAACCACAATGGTCATTGATGATGAAGGAACAAATGATAAAGTGGTTCCTATTCAAAGAAGAAAAATATCTTCATCAGTTTAACCGGATGCTCGACCGGGAGAACGTCAAGCACCACAACCAGGAGAACTTCAAGGACTCTTCACGAAAATAGAAATTGTTGAAAATGTTGAGTCTCGTTTTTGGGCTCCTGTCGATGCTTTCGTTCAAAGGAGTTCTGCCCTTGACATTCCTTCGCCATCAACTTCTACATTAACTGCAACACCTTCTACACCAACTACTACCTCTCCATCGGCCCCAACCGAATAGGCAGAAGATGTTCCTTCCCCATAGTCATCCAACCATGGAAATTTAGGGAACACTTACCCGGCACCCACTCAAAACCCTAGTAGAAAATGGAGTGTCATTCTTATGGTTTCGAATGAGTGCCACCTACTTTCCAAGCCGGTAGAGGTTGCCAATTACCTGAAGCCTCTGGTCACAAACAAAGATTGGAGAAAGATGGATTCTCTCTACCGAGTGTTTGATCAACAACAACATGCATTATTCAGCTCATGTATCAGTATAACCTTCTTCTCTTCCTTTCTTTCTTTCTACACTTTATCTTCATACCCTTAATCAAATTTTATAGGATAACCTCCTTGCCCCTGAGGGTCTACAAAAGTTGATATTAGACAAAGAGGAACTCACTTCTAAACGTAATCAACTTGTTGCCGAACGGAACTAGCTTGTCGAGCGCCTCCCACTTTTGGAAGCCAAAGTTGCTCAAATGGGCAAGCTCGAGGCTCAATTAGAGCAATCCGAGCAAGATAAAATGACCTACAACCAAGAAGCCGCTCAATTACATGAAGAGCTTAACGAGGCAAAGGCTAAGTGGGTTGAATTGCATGATGCAGTAACTGTCGTGGCCAAACGTGAGTCTGCTTCCATGAAACGAATCAACAACCTGGAAGCAAACTTACATTCCAAAACCAAGGAGTCTGCCACTGCCAAAGAGAAGAGATCCAAAATGGAGGAAAGGCTAAAAAGGTGATGGAGCAGAACCGTGAGCACGTAAAGACAAATACGGACATTTACCGAACCTATGGCATTGTGAAGGTTGAAAATGATTAGTTGAAATCCAAAATTGAGAGGCTCCGAGCTTGACTCTAAGATCAAGAAGACTTTTTCCTCCTTGAGAAAACATATGCAATTTATCATATGAGGAGGAAGACTTTGGAGGAGGCCAAAGAGGGAATTGCAAACATAGATAATTGCATTGCCAAAGCTCGTGGATTGGAGACAACTGCTCTCGACAACATTCCTGCTCGGCCCATTGCTTCAAGCTCTTTGAACACCAGCTTCGAGTATTCAAAAATCGAAGAGTAACCTGAAGAAGAAGAAGAAAAAATAAGGATGATGGACTTGAACTTGATGCGGAACAACCTTCACCTTCAAAAGAAACCGAAGACAATTATCTTCCTTTGGGCTCCGCATGTAAAAATAATTGATGTATATATTTTCACTTTTTCTTTGTAACTATGCCAAAACTTCTTTATTGAGTTTGGCAATTTAAGTAATGAAAGAAAGTTTTTGCTTAAGTATTGTGCAAGAAATATTCTTTTTTATTTAACTAAAAAAGCTCGAGAATTCTTTTTACATCCGATAACTTTAATCCCGGGCATTCATACTTCCGGAATCTACCCTTTAACTGTGAGGGTTTCATAAGAGAGAGACCTTATGTTTACGGTGCTCTTGAAGAGGACGTCTCCTGTTCATTCTGGCACAAGCATTTGAAGTTTAATTAACTATCAAACATAAAATAATTTAACATATCATTTGGACAAGAAATAAGATAAAAATAAAAGGACTTGATTTATTCCTTCCATCTTTAAAAGTACATTCACATAAACATTCAGTTGCTTAAGTAAATAAAGCTGTCAATACATGTGGCTAACTCGTACAACTTATTTCTACGGGGCTGATCATGCAGTCCCCGGTCCTGATAAGACATAACATCCGATTCTGTTAGTCTTTGATCTTTGTTACACTTTTAGTGCTCTAATATGCAATAGTTTTCCCCATCATTTGGATGCTAAGTATAATAATTCGAACACAGGAGATCTTGCTATCGTCGATGACCCTTTCTTCGTAGTATGCTTTACATTGCTGCCTCATTAAAAATCTTGCCAGAAAAATTCAATTGGGACAAAGGAAAAAAGAGTGCAGCACATACTTTCAGTATCAATAAGGATCTTCAGCACTAATACCTTTTGAGGCGAGTCACATTCTAATTGCTTGGCAATTTAACTCCATCTTGATTTTTCAATTGATATGAACTTTTACCGGTTATAGCTGAAATTCAGTAAGGTCCTTCCGGCGTTAGTCCCAGCTTCCCGACATTAAATTCTCGGGTATTTTGAGTTACTTTTCTCAAAACTAAATCTTCAACTTTGAAATTACTAAGATTTGCTCTGCGGTTATAATATCTTTCCATCCTTTGCTTTTGTGCTACCATCCTTACATATGCTAAGTTTTGATGCTTCTCAAGAAAATTCAACTTAACCAACTTCATTATTTGCCTCCTCGTTTGCCCGGGAGTACCTTATGGTCGGTTCTCCAATCTCTATCGGGATCAAAGTTTCCGCACTGTACACAAGTAAAAATGAAGTTTCACCCGTGTTCAACTTCGTCGTTGTTCGATATGCCCATAACACACTTGGTAGCTCATCCGGCCAATTACCTTTAGCATCTTCTAACTTATTTTTGAGATTTTGAATTATTACCTTGTTGGTTGACTCCGCTTGTCCGTTAGCACTTAGATGGTATGGAGAAGATGTAATCTATTTGATCTTTAATCCTTCCAAAAACTTTGTGACTTTGGAACCTATAAATTGCGGCCCATTGTCACAAGTAATTTTTTTTGGTATTCCAAACCGACAAATGATGTTATCCTATATGAAATCAATCACTTCCCGCTCTTTGATCTTTTTGTAAGCACCTACTTGAATTCCGTCATCACCCGGTCTTATCTTGAGAGGTGATTTATAATTTTCCTTTGTTGCTCCCTCAAAATTGTAACCATCTCAACCACTCGTTCATCATCCATATCGTCAGGAGTTGGCTTTCTCACATGCCGAGGATTTTTTTCTCCATGAACCGGAGTTGTTTCATCTCCTTTGTTGTGAGTTATACTGGTTGAATCATCACGTTGGAACATATCCTCATGCTCGTTGTGTGTTTCAACATTGTAAGAATTGTTCACATCGTTAGCTACCATATCTTATTGTTCTTTTATTAAAAAAAAAATCAAACTTCAATAGTAATAGATAAATGGATCAAGGTAATTACACAATTGTCTATTCCCTACGATGGGCGCCAAACTGTTTACCCGTAAAACAGTACAGTTGAATTTGTACCGTGGTTTATAGATACGTGAATTAATTTGATCCAAGAATATAAGAAAATAAGAACAAAAGTAATATTACTGAAATAACTTGAAGAAAAATACAAGCGTAGCTGTAGACGTAGCTTCTCCGGAAGCAATAATAAGAGCAATATTAAGAACATAAAGAAAGAGAGTAATTTGATATAGTAAGATCAAATTATATCCTTTTGAGTATATATGATTTTTCGTGTCCAACTATAGATACAAATTTTCCTATTTATAGCTCTATTCAGGGAGACAAGATCCCCAAATCAAGCTCTTCTTTAATTAGAACAAAACCCCTTTTGATGGCTGCATAACAACATATCATGAATACAAAGATTCTTTGTAACGGTTGGTCATTGAATGCTGTTTTTTCCTTTCAAATCTTCGTTCTCGGTTCCCATGCCTTCGAAATTTATTCAGCACCGATCACATATTTTATCCGGTGTTAACTATTCACTGACTCATCTCTTACATGTCTCCAGATCCACGTGTCATCTCGTCATTCATTCACCTGTTGCTAATCAATTTTATCCCATACAATATTGTATCATATTGTTACTTTAACTACAATATTTATTTTGATTGTTACTTAAATTTTATTGTATCGTATCGTTTAAATCCGTGGTTACGTAACGACGAAAAGTGCCAATTTATGGAATGACCGATTTGGTGTGGTTGCGTCGTTTCCTTATTTTTTCTCTAATCTTGCCCTTTTTTATTATTAAATAATCCTATATTATTCTTTACCCTGCCTTTTATATAATAATATTACCTTGTACCTTACTTTTTTCTTAATAATATTGCAAGTTTATTCTTCATATTATTGGTGCATGACATCATAAAATGACGACAAACAATACAATTTATTCAAATATTGTCTATATCAAAACGATACAGTACAATACAATACAATATTATACGATACATTGTGAAATGATACATGACAACTATCCAAACAAGTTGTAAAGGTCTATCGTAAAACTGAAAACTTTATAAGAATAAATTCTTTTCAAAAAGTTGGTACATACTAGTTTCTCGTACTTCCTTATCATATTTTAAATGTAAGGACAATTTTGGTAAGTGCATGCAAATAAGTCGCTTTTGAGAAAAATAAATTTATCGTTATATATTGTTACTTCCTTATTTTATTTTTTTATTTTTCTACAAAATAATTGACCAATTATATCTCAATCACAAATTAGTTGCTTGAATCAATTACATCTCTTTTTTTTTTCCTACGTCAATTACTAATGAAGTGACAAAAGAAAAAGTCAAAAGTCAAGGCTAGGAAACAGGAAGCTACCATGAGACACTCCACATGGAATGACCTGCCAGAAAAAGGTTACAACACTCCAACTTCTCCATATTGGTTCTAGTGACACATCGATCCACCAACTCCTCTGCCAATTGCCAAATTTTCTCCCTGATTATTTATTTATTTAATCATTAATAACTATTTATAGCTTCCAGCTTTTTGCATAATTTTTTAAAGCTTTTAGCCTAGCAAAAGAGAGAGTGTGTGTGCCGCACTTACAGAGAGGAGCACTGCTTTGAGTACTTTAAAAGATGGCTACCAAGTTGGGGGCTTCAAGGGCTGCTTCATACCTCAGGGTATCAACGTTTCACAGAGCATTTGCTACTGGTAATATATATGGACATAGATTCACGTTTATATATATAACATTTTTATCATGTTTTCTCTTGTTTTGTTTTGGGTTGTATGAATGTGAATCATGAATTTGTTTTACAAGATTTTTCTTGATCTGTCATCCCGTCGATTAAAGATCCGATTTTTGGAAATTGGTTGTGCTTATTTTGTCTATTTGGATCAATAGAAGTATTAGGAATTTTTTTTTTCTTAATGTTTTCTTGATTTTACAATCTGTCACCTTTGTCATGTGAATATTATCAAGATCGTGTTGAAGGGCAAATGATGTTACTGTTATTTGCTTTATCTATTTTGTTAAAAATGTGTTATACTCTATGTGAGATCTGTATATGCTGGATCAATATTTCTTTTTTTGGTGGGATAATGGTGGTGTCCGGGCCAACTTTGGCGTACCTCGGCTATTCCATGATATACCTGTTACCTCCGACCAGTACATGTATCGGATAACTCTGTCCACCAAAGCTTAGGTAAACGGGAAGAAAACACCTAGTGATTTTTGCCTACTCCATTGACCACTAGGCCACTCCCTTGGTTGTGGGATCAGTTATCATCGAGATTAATAATGAAATGGAATGTTATTTGCATTTGATGTTCATTACTTTGATGTAGTACTGGAAAATGGCAATGAATATATATCTCAGCATTGACAGTTTCCAAATTTTAGTGGTGGACCTCTGAAATTTTGCATTTGTTTTAAAGGATTCACTAATGGAGAACGAGAGTATAACTTGTTAGATCAGATTAGTAACTTATAGCAATTCTTCTTCTTTTGTTCAATTTTCGGTGTTTTCAAATAAGATCTTCCCTTTAAATTCTACCAAATCAAAGAGAAGTTCTAAAGCAGTGTCTATTAGTATGCCTAAATGAAGAATTATGGTATATGTTAGTTGTTATCCTTTTCTATAGCTAGGACTTCTCTAAATTTAATTGTTTTTTCTCATATCTTCTATCTAAAAGCTTCAAATACAAAGGCATTTTATCAATGCATTACCATATGTTTTCATATGGATAAATGCAAAGAATATGGAACTCCTTTAACTGAGTTTGCTTGGGTGTATTATCTGGGTATAGTTAGCAGGATTTAAGCGTGGTGCTATACGATTTTTTCCATTGAGTTAATCACTGCCAAAAGATGTACAACTCTTCATAAACCCTCGTCATGTTTGATTGAGGTATCATGCTTGAGCTGGAGGGTACGTTCAATTCATAACCAAGAGTATCCTTCACCCAGGAACCTTGGTGATGACAAAGCTTCTTGGAAAATGAATTTAATGGAAATCAGGTACCATAGTCCTTCAGTTAAAAATGAATACAGATAAAAGAATCGTACCAATTAAAAATTTGAATTATGTTATACTCTGAATGGTGATATAGTTTGGAGTGATCATATTGGATTTCCTTATATCAATTGGTTTTGTCGATTTTGTTCACTCGTATGCTAAATTTTTAGATGGAATTCCATGTGATAATTGGTTTCTACCATGATATGTCTGGTCCCTTTGACTTAATGGTATATTATGGGAGGTGTTTATTTCTTGGACCATGTGAACATAGAAAAGTATGTAATATAAAACTCAGAAGGGTTGGTAGTGGGTGCAAGAAATAATGCCTCCTCCTGCAAAAGGGGGTGAACTGGCAGACAATGTTTAATGACCCCATTTGATAAAACCGCTCTCTCTTTTTCTACTGATAAAGAGAACAAAGAAGAAAAAACTTGTTAAAGAAAGGAAAGGGAAAAGCAGAAAAGGGAGGGAATGGAAAAAGATTAAGTAATGTACTAATGTTTGAATATGATCCGTCAGCGTATTGACTGTTTGGGTTCAAATTCCTTTGCAGTTGTCAAGGATTTGAAGTATGCAGACTCTCATGAATGGGTCAAAGTTGATGGTAGCTCTGCCACAATAGGCATCACAGATCATGCTCAGGATCATTTGGGTGATGTTGTGTATGTTGAATTACCCGAAGTGGGGGCTTTTGTTACTCAATCTGGCAGTTTTGGCGCTGTTGAAAGTGTCAAGGCCACCAGCGATATCAATTCTCCAGTTTCAGGAAAGGTGGTCGAAGTTAACGAGAAGCTCAACAACACTCCTGATCTGGTGAGTTTCCGAGTTCTCTAGATTATTTTCTTTCATTGAGGTGTAGCTTTTAGTAGAAAATATAGAGAATTTCTAGTGCTTTTTATTTGTATTTTTGTTTTGTATAATATTGGCTGAATTTTTAAATAGAGAAACATGTTCAATAAGGATTCATATAGCCGAATCCGACTTATTTGGGACTGAGGCATAGTTGTTGTTGATGTTGAGGTATAGCCTTAGAGGTTGAAGTAAAATGCTGAATACTTCAACCGGACATTCTTGCAAATTGAGTGGATTTTTTGGTGTTTAATCTACGGCATATGCTTCAAGCTAGTAAATTGGAAGAACTATTTACACATACCCAACAGCTGAAACCAAGTGTATTTATCTTCAAACAAATGTACTGTCATTAATCCAGAAGGTCATTCTGAGTTTTGGATATGATGATTTGGTGAATATGTTAAAGTAATGGTGCTATAAACAGTTCTGTTATGCGTTCCTATAAATATA